AAGAAGTTAGAGAAAGTTTATGGCTTCAAGTATGACTACAATAGGGTTAACACTGATGATGAAGATATTGAGGAAAATTTATGAGAACATTAGTGAAGTCGTTAGTGAGAACGATAGTGAGAACGTTTATTTTTTACATTAGTGAGTTCGTTAGTGAAGTGGTTGGCGGCTTTGTAAATATTTAAGGTTAAGTTAGTGTTGTCGTTTGTGTTGTAAAATATACGTTAACGGTTTTGTAAAGTGTCAAATTCACAAGTATTGGGTAAGGAGGTGCGCAGTGCCACCATACCCAAGACTTGTATACTAACTTTTTCTGAACCGTTGTCGGTCCAGAAACAATAAGGGGCGCCAAATTCAATGAAGGCGGAAGCTGCAACGTTCGCTGTCGTCGCTGCCAGCATATCTGGTATTTGTATACACGCTAGGACTTTGCGGCTAAAATCGTCGATTATGCCATAAATATACTGGCCACGAACACCCCTAAAATAATGAACATCTGCGTGCCAGATAAGATTGGGTGAAAGCGCCCAATATCTTACTGCTGTTTCTGGCCCGGCATGCTCTAATCGCGTCTTGGTGAAATGATTTTCTTTGAAGTATCTGCGTACTTCTCTATAAGATACATCAATTTGTTGTAATTTCAAACGTTTCCATTGTTTTGTTTGACCACAGGGAAAGGCCCAGTGGTCATGTATCACAGCAAGAGCTTTGATTTGGTCGTAGGGATTGACCCTACGACCTTTCTTGCCTTTAGGCAATGGGATATTCTGTAAGCTAAATTGATTTTGTAAAAAAGAGTTTGAAACATCTAAATATTTGAAATCATTTGATTGAAGGGTTGGGGCGATGGGAACATGGGTGCAAGCTTCTTCCCATGTCATTTTACCTTCTTCAATCTGATTGGAAATACCAATTAGGTAAATTCGATCGACATACCCTTTGTAAGGATTCATTCTAATGAAGTACGTTAACAATCAAAATATTCTATAAGTGTCTAGTATGGAATTCAAAAGAATAAAGAAAATGGTAACGTAAATAAACGTATTATGAAATAATTTATAATTAAAATGAAAAAAAAGAAAAAATAATAAGTAAAGTGACTAGAAATGAAAATTAAAATCAGTGTAAAGTTTTATTTTTTTCTCGCTGTGAAACGTATTCGGTCTTTTTTTTAAAAATTAATTTTTTGTTAGAGATAAGAGCTAAAACTCGGTAAACAACTTCTTTATGTCTAGAAAATTCTATCTTGCCTTTTATTTTTTTCTCGCTGTGAAACGTATTCGGTCTTTTTTTTAAAAATTAATTTTTTTGTTAGAGATAAGAGCTAAAACTTTGCAGACAACTCCCCTGTCTAGCAAATTTAACATTCGTCTCCCATTTTTATATATTTGGTTTAGAATGTTCGAAAATGCGTAATATGGTCATTAATATTAATTGAAAAGAACCTTGAATTAATTCAATCTGATCTCACAAAATATTTTAAATTACAAACTTTGTAGTTTGAATAGATAATTAGTATTAAACTCAAATAACTAGTTTATTTTTGAATAAAAATTATTTGAATTTATTCAATTTTGTGAATTTTCCTTCAAAAATCAAGTTTAAATATCTTATTTGCCATATAATTATAAATACAATGAAACATATTCGAAATTGAAAAGAATGACTTTTTCTGTTCTTTCAATCATTCAATTTGAATTTTGCAATATTGGATTTCTCATTAAATAGCTATTAAAAACAACAAGCAATTTAACTTACATTCAAATTTATTTGTGTTATATTCAATCTTCTCAAAACTTATAATTTTCGGCTATAGCATGATTATATGCTATATAATATAATAAACCTATAATAGTATCATTCTTTCAATTATTTGAAGAGAAAACCGAAAAAATCTATTTTCGGTCTATAACAAAAATATCAAAAAATACAACTTGACTCCATTCTGACCCTTTCATGGAGGTAGTTTTTATCCGCTAGTATTTTCCCTTTGAATCTCTTTACAATTCGAAATCAAATTCAAAACTCAGTAGAAGAAAGGAAGAATCGACTTACTACGGTTGTAATACGAATAAATACATATATTTAATTATTTTATTTACATAATAATTGTTTGAAGCTCATATTCCATCAAATTTTTAAATAAAAACATTAAAATGTTGAAAATGTTCATATATTTTAATAGGGTTTTGGCACTTTATTGAGGAATTACTACATACATAGTCGAACTGAACTTGATATTTTGAAATTTAAATTATTTATCAAAATTAAAATTTAACTTGAAATTTATAATTATTTAGTCATATTTTGCATAATTCTAAGTAGATTTTGTAAAAAATCAAGAAAGAAAAATTTTAACGTGATTTATTTTTTCGTTTTTATAATAATACATATTATTATATAATTAACATATTCATAATGTTTCACCCGTTCAAAAATATAATCCTCCTCCTCTCAAATAAACGTACATACGGGTGGCCTCTTTTTTCAAAAAATTAAAATTTGAAATTTTGGGCTCAAATATTAGAGATTTTTTCAACCTTCAACTGTAATAAACAGAAATTCATCAAAAGTGACAGCTCTCAATTTTTTGACATTTGTAAATTCTAAATTGAATGAGAAAAATGAAATAATACTAAGCATAATATAATATTCTAGATTTAATTATAATTAGGAAAAAGTTAGTTTTGAGAGTACTTTTCATAGGCATATAGAATGAAATCTTCTGAAAAATAATATCACATAAACTCATATTATTTTCTAATATATAACTATTTTATATACAAATCAAATTCAATGATCTTAAAAGCGAAGGATAAACCTCAAAATTTACGAATATAATGAGTGGGAATATTTCATATTGTTTTATGATAGATAAGCATTATATTCCCACTCATTATATTCGTAAATTTTGAGGTTTATCCTTCGCTTTTAAGATCATTGAATTTGATTTGTATATAAAATAGTTATATATTAGAAAATAATATGAGTTTATGTGATATTATTTTTCAGAAGATTTTGTGTTCTCCTTCAAAATTTTATTTTTTTATTAAAAAGAATCTTTACAAAATATACATTTACTTAAATTAATATTTAAAAACGTGCTCTATCAAAAGTTCCAAAAATTCAATATTTTAGCTTTTCTGAGGTGTCACTTTTGATGAATTTCTGTTTACAACACAACGATATATGTTGTCTATATCAGATCTCTTTTCTTTTTGATACTTAACATTGTTCCTAAATCTTAGCCGTTAAGGCTGTTCTGAAAATATTTTTTTTTTCGAAAAAAATTCGAAAAAAATTCTTAAAATTCAAAAATCCCTTAATTCCTGAGGATTTTGGGGAAAAGTTTTTACATGAACATGTGTATATTATATGAAGTATATTGATAAGGTAAAAATCAAATTTTATTGCATATTCATCGAGAAAATAAACTAACGAATCCCTCAAAATTGAGAGGGTAATCCTCCTCCTCTCAAATAAACGTACATACGGGGGCACCCTTAATCAATATTTGAACAACCCGTAATTAAAATTGAATTCCTCTTAAAATTTAATCCATACGTTAATTTTTAATTTGCTCGGCGAATGCCGAGCTTCCCTACTTCTCTTGTCATTCCTTCAAAAACTCTAATCTCATCGCACTTACAAACATCATGATTTAATGTATTGTCGAGAAATCTTAGACTTGTTTGTCATTTGATTATAGCATTTGAAAGTCATCTCGAAAATCGATTAACAAGACAATTTCCCAAACATCTACATACAAGTAGATGATGGTAAACCCATTAGAGTTGTTTTGCTATGATTCCTCCAATCTTATGATGAGAAAAATCATATCAAAACAGCTCTAATCGAACATTCTACACAGCTTAGCATCCAGCTAGTTCCAAGTAATGCGATTACAACATCAACGGCCAAAGCCTTTCAGAGTCCTTTAATCATTTCTTCTCATCTCAATGTGAAGTGGCCCCAAACGAACTACAAGCTGACGTTACAACGCATTACAACCCGGTTAATACGAGCATATACATTAGAGCTGCTTTGTTATGATCTCCCTCATCAATTGATGAGAGATCTCATTATGAAGCAGCTCCAATCGAACTAAAAACCTACATACAAATGAGTGAAAACAAACTCATTAGAGTTGTGTTGCTTTGATTTCTCTCATCAGAAGATGAGAGATACCAGAACAAAACAACTCTAATCAAACTTTCTACACAACTCAGCACAGTATCAATGCAAAGTAATGCGTCTGTATCGTTAACAAACAAAGTTGTTTCGGGTCCTTCCATTTTGGAAGAATTCGGAACAACTTTGCGAATTGATAGTGTAAACCCATATACATGAAAGCGTGCATGCATAAAGACAGGTATTGTCAGCAATGACTACCTGCCCAGCTATGAGTGATCAGAGAATTACCATCTCAGGCTTTTTGAGAACGTTTCAGCCAGGACCCTCGTATGTTGACTGTGAGAAAGGCATCCTTTATCTGAAATAGATGCTTTTCCAACAATCAAATTCGAAGATCTTCGACGTTGTTGTAAAAAGAGAAGGAGAAGGAAAGAAGAGGAAGGAGAGGAAGAAGGAAAGGAAAAGAAGAAGAAAAAAGAAAAAAAAGAAGGACATATTAAATATAATGCGCACTTAATAGTGCCGAGGCGGCGGAGCCGCCGAGGCGCGATTTTTTTGACCCTATATTACCGCACGGCAATGTTTTTCTCGATTTTGTACAGCCCTAATATTACCTAAATGTAATAACATTTTAAACGAATAAATTGAAAAAGAAAATAATTAATTTCTTGGAGAGACCCCAGAACGAAATGTAGGAGTGTCCCTCATCTGAGTCAACCAGTCATTGATTGAATTTATTGTTTATCATAGATATAATATCTACAACTGATATCAATCCTAAAAATCATAAAAAGAAAGCTAAGATCACTTTTTTATTTATTGAATTTTTAAGACCAAAAGTGCCACTGCCAAAATTTTACAAAAGAATGTCAAGTTCAGAGCAGCCAAAAAATGAAAATGTATGCATTTACAGTGACCTTAAGCCAATTAAAGTATTCGAACACCCAGATCAAGTATCAAAATTTATTTGGGGCGTCAATTCCAATAATGTTATACAAATATATTCACAAATTGTCGAATTAATAACAGCTCACAAAATAATTATCGAAATGGTACTTCACATGATTGATATTTTTTCACAAATTCATGTTAAAGATATTAAATTATTTTCAGAACTTTACCAAAAGATATCAAACACATTTTCATACATCCATGAACCGAAAAATAAGTCATTAGCGACGCTTCTACACTATAAAGGTTTCAAATTTGAAAACTTCAAACCTAAAATGAAAGAAGAAAAAATTCTCAATATATATTCAACAGAATCTCCTTTATACTATATTGCATGGGACAAAGTTGATGATCTTAAGAGTAAATTCCCAAATCTTGATATTAATGAGAAAATAGATTATGAAATCACACCACTTGATTATGCAATTAGAAATGGATCAGAATTATGTTTCAATTACTTGAAAAATTTAGGAGCTAAATACACCGATAACTCCGAAAAATATGCTGTTCAAGGCGGAAATAAAGATATTTTTATGCAAATGATAGAAGATGGTAAATCATTTGAGAGTTAGTATCCCTAAGTTGCGTACTGTGGCACTGCGCGCCTCCGTACACCACTTAGTGGTTTTGACACTTTACGAAACCGGTAACGTATATTTTACAACACAACCATAACACCAACTTAACCTTAAATCTTTACAAAACCATCTGACACATAAACGACTTCACTAACGACTTCACTAACGACTTCACTACCGTCCTCACTAAATAAAAAATAACCTTATTTTTATTTTTTTTAAATTTTTTATTTCATTACAAAGACATGTCCGACTATATTTACTATGACTCTTTCCCAGAACGTTTCCGTGAACTATTCAAAACTCAAGTAAAACTGAGAAACATGCATTTTAACAAAGACAGACCCATTGACGATGAAAGAAACCCTGAATATATTACAATCCCTTATGACGCAAAGTTCATTGCATACATTCCTTATGGTCGCAGAGGAACGAAAACTATTTCAACAAAGAACAAAAATTATTTCTGGAGCGATGAAGAAAATTGCCTTATCTACATAAATGCATACTTAAATAAAGCTACTTATTGTACAAAAGAAGGTTGGACTGGATTTGAGCTCTACATATACGACGACGATGGAAACAGACGTTGTGTATACCCATACGATAATATGTACCATTGTTTTCATCAAGCATTAAACGAATACATAGTCAGTAAGGGTCTCATTCCTGCTGAGTAGAAATGTTATATTTTTGTTCTGTCATTTATATAAAAAATAAACTTAAAAATTAATGATATCACCACCCTCACACGTATGAAAACATAGCACAAAAATAAATTTAGGGTAGAAGGTTAGATCTAACCCGATTTCTAACCTCATTTCTACCCTGTTGAATTCATTGCTTTATAACTCTCTTCCTTTCTCCAACTCTTCTAGCTTCTTCTTAAGTTCAGCAATGTTGTCCTCATGAAGTTTAATCTTCCTTAATATACCTTCTTTATCTAATGGTTGCTTTATCTTTCTAAACTGAACTCTACCATCCTTCATAGTATGAATGTAAAAACCTTCTGGAATAGTTCCTGATTTAATGTATTCTACCAAAAACTTTTGTTTCATTGCTTCAGTGACTTTAGTCGTCATTTCAATCAAAGGTGAAGCTAGCACAGCGATAATGGATTTCATGACTTTTTAGTATTTCATACAATCTTAACAGATAGCCTTACAAGTACTTCCAGTGTCCCTAGCTGTCCCTCCTTTTTATATAACTCCATGACATTTATAATCTCGCGAAACTTAACAGGTAGCATAACAGATTAAAATCAGATGAGGTTTTGAACCAAAATTTCTAAGCAACGTTGTCAAGGATTTTTGAGGAACTAGGGACAGAGTGTGGCAAAGTCCAAGATTTAATTTATCTTCATCTGTTTCATCAGCTATCTCATCTAATATGCCAATATTTTATTCATAACTCGTGGCAAACCCACTAACTTTCATTATGTTCATCTGCATGCTTCATCTGATAGAAAGTATGACTTTCATTAACTCTGTGAGATAATGAAAACTACTAGGGACAGAGACCATGGCAAAGTTTATGACTTTCATTATTTCCAGAACTTAATGAAAACTACTAGGGACAGAGGCCATGGCAAAGTTCATGATTTAATTTATTCTCTCACTAACAACAAACACAAACTCCAACACTAACATCAAGTACTAACTTCAGCACAAATGACAAACACTAACAACAAACACAAACTCCAACACTAACGACAAAAATAAATGTCCTCACTTCTTAACAAAGTAATATGTGCTTCTTACACCACCATAGCTCAAACGTTTCTTTTCAAACATCGATTGAAACTTATTTTGAGCCATTGGCTTTAGTCTCTTTTTCTTCAAATACGCCAAGAAATCTTCTTCACATCTTTTCACTTCATAGCCTTCTTTAAACTCCTCCTTGTTAAGTTCTATGAAATCCTTTATATCATTCTTTGTTGCAATGGCTTCTTCACGAACGACATCGTGAACTATTTCATCATTGCATTCATGTATGACCTCCTCACTGTTCTCATGAACTATTTCAACACTGTTCTCATGAACGACCTCCTTACTGTCTTTCATAAGCGTTTCAAAGTCTCCTTTACTCATTACTTCAATCTCATGCTGTTTACAGTAGTACTTAAACTCACTGTATATGTCTTTGTTGTATGTTATATTGCTTCCCATGTACTCCATGAATTTTTCAAGCACTTCCTCATAATTCACTGTTTCTTTCTTTCCACGACCTTCTAATATCATACTTGCTTCGTAAATATAACTTCTTGCAGAACCGTCTCGCTTTCTACTTCTCTTCACAAATTCTCTCATCTTGCCGCCAAATACATTTGAACTACATGCAAAGAATTCATTCTCCTTCGCAAATTCTTTATATCTTCTGTAGCACTCTGTACAATTCCATCCGGATACAAACTTTTCATAGAACTCCTCGTAAAACATTTGGTAAGGTGTTTTGTTCATTTCGATGAGTTCTTGTTTAGCCCTGGTGAATGGTATCTTCCTTACATCAAATTCACTTAAATCTTTCTTCATGAAGTACGTCAGTAAGTTTGAATAAAACTCTTCATTAAAGCTTTCAATGAGATTTGAGAAATATTCGTAATTTCCTTTGTATCTGCTGCTTACGTCAATGACAACAAATCTTCTGTCGTCTTTGTCAATCTTTACTGAGTTGAAGTTGTTAGATATCATGATGATATTACAAACATTCTCTATCTTTCTTACTGGCTGACACTTCTGATTTAAGTCCAACTGAGTCTCTGTTACTATTGACTTTAGTGCGTCGTGGTTCATGACCTTAGACGTATCGCATGAGCTTAGTTCATTGCATACGATGAGCTTCATGTTCTCAATAGCAGCATTGAATCTACCAACCACATTCTCTATTGCCGTTATATTATTGTTGGCGTACTTGCTAATGAGCTCGCATAGAACATTACTAAGTACATTCTTACCAGTTCCTTGCTTTCCTGTTAACAAAAGTACTGTTCCAGTCTTTCCACAAGGATTTTGAACGATGTAGGCGAACCAGTTCAAAACATACTCATAAAGCTCTTCATCCTCATTACATATGACATCGTGAACATGTTTCAAATATCCTTCAATAATGCATTCATCTACTTCATTCAGTACCTCATACTCATATCCTCTGAAATAGCTGTAAATGTCATCTCTTTCGTCAAAGAATCTCATGCCTGACTTCATAAGATAGTTCTTGTTCTGACCCGCTTCATAAATCATCAGTGCGTTCACATCCTTCTCTTCAATACGTCCTACATAAACACTCTTCATGAGCTTATTGAAATTCCTTGCTATCTACTGACACAAGTGTTGTTGTGTCTCGTATTCCATCATAATCTTTCACTAGATATGTCATACATGTGCTCGTCAATAACGACAACACATCTTCTTAAGTCATTTATAACACTAGCTATGTCAATACCTTCTTCACTCATGTACTTATTTCTCCTCAAGTCCTTTAGTGTGAAAGTGTCTCTAAGTTCTATTTCAAGCAATTCATTTACACATCCTTTGCAATACTTCTCTATAAAATATTTCTGTCGTTCTTTACTAAGTTTCTTAACAGCTCTGAAGAACCATGTGTTTTGACTCAAACATCCTTCACAACTTCTCTCATTCATTCCTAGTTCTTTCATGTCATTATCTTCAACCTCTATGGTCTCATTGACTAAGGTCAAAGGGTTCTTAGTCATTGCTGGTCTTATCTGAAACAATGTTTGTGCAACAGGTTTAACTAGTTCAGCAACGTCCTTCCTTAATATGAATAGCTGTTTCCACTCATCTTTGCTAACAGTTCTTTCATAACCACTGACAGTAATGATTTCATTTGCTGACCTTAGACACTTATGTTCTATCATTTGTATTGCTTTTGTGTAAGGCTTTCGTGAGCATAGGTTGTATATGTCATTCCTGCAATGTTCATTCATGCCAATAGTACTAAATCCTTTCTTTGCTGTTGAGTGCATAATATCCATTAGTTCCTGTGTTCGTATTGCTGTCTCATAAAATACAACAAGACCTTTGTCATCTATGACGTACTTACCGAAAACATTGCTTATATTCTTTAACCATGAAATAACATCCTCATTCATGCTGTCAAACATGAAGTAAGGTCTTACATACTCTTCACTTATAAGATACTCCACAAAATACTTGTTAAGCTCTATGTCCTCGTGAGCGATTTCATTAGGTTTGATATTAGTTCCTTTTGTCATTGCTGTCATGTACTTCACTCTCATAGTTCCTTTCAATAGCGTAAAAATACTTCATTGTTTCATAACTGCTCTAAATTCTGTTCAAAATTCGTACAACATAACTTTTTAACATTAGTGAAATAACATGAGCGAAACAACAACATCTAACATTACAGAAGAAGTCAATGACAATGCCGATGAAAACATTACAGAAGGAGCTAGTGAAAATATTGACGAGTTCAGTGAGGAAGAAGATATTGAAGACGTCAATGAGAACGTTAGTGGGGAACAAACTCAATGGGAAACATTGAGAAATCATGAAGATTATGAGATTTGTACGACATATCCTTTTACTATTCGTCGAAAGAAAGACAAACATATTATGAGTGAATGCTTAAATAATTATGGTTATATTGTGCTTAGTTTAAACAACAAAATGCATTTAAAGCATAGAATTATTGCAGAACAGTGGATTGAAAATCCAAACAATTTGAAAGAAATAGACCATATAAATCATGATAGAACGGACAACAGAATCTCAAACCTTCGTTGGTGTTCTAGATCTGAAAACAATAGAAATAAAAGCAAGTATGGCGATATAGTTTATGAGTTCGTTGATGAAATATCTGACGAAGCTGTTGAAATAACAGATTATGGTAAGCATTCGTTTGAGTTCTACTACTATGTTGAGAATGAAGACGCATTCTATTATTATACAGGTCCTAACTATCGAAAACTTCATATAAACTTTACAAAAACAGGTGCTGCTTATGTTTGTATGATAGATACAGAAAACAAGAGTGTAATTTTATTCATAAACAAATTCAAACGCTTGTACGGCTTCATGTAGGACAAACATTATTTTTCAACACTAACGCCAACACTTAGGACAAACATTCATGACTAACATTACTTTATAACATAGACACTAACTTCATCGAAACTAAACGTAAATGTTTTGTCATGATTTCTTCGTATATGTTTTGTTATGATTTCATCGTAAATGTTTTGTCAAAACTTCATCGTATATGTTTTGTCATGATTTCATCGTAAATGTTTTGTCATGACTTCATCGTATATGTTTTGTCATGATTTCATCGTAAATGTTTTGTCATGACTTCATCGTAAATGTTTTGTTATGACTTCATCGTAAATGTTTTGTCATGACTTCATCGAAACTAAACGTATATGTTTTGTTATGACTTCATCGTATATGCTTTGTCAAAACTTCATCGAAACTAAACGTAAATGTTTTGTTATGATTTCATCGAAACTAAACGTAAATGTTTTGTCATGATTTCTTCGTATATGTTTTGTCATGATTTCATCGTAAATGCTTTGTCGAACTTAAACGTAAATGTTTTCAGTGTCACCACGTCACCATGTCACCAGGTTATTTAACTTCTCTTAAAATTACTGACAACATGACATTTTGACAACAGTCCAGGAAATAAATTTTATCGTTTCAACATGACATTTCTCTTAAATTTTGGGTTTTCTGATGTAGATATTAGATAAATTATTTTGCTTGTACTTCGCAAGATAGCAAAGAATTGCTCAGCAAAGTTGCTAATATTGAGTATCAGATCAAATCCTTTTCGGAATTATTCGAAAATTGAGTAAAAATATGGCAAGAAGCTTTGCATTAATCTATTGGTCATGAAATGTTAATGTTTACTTTAATAATTTCTGCAAATGGCTAAATGAAATTATATCTAATGCCGAATACTGATAAGAATTCTATTAAAATGTCATCTGTTGGTATCATTAATATTACTATTTTAATAAAATTGAACATAAATAATGCATTATAAAAGAATGATATTTATTACCTTTTTAAAGTAATCAAAAGAAAAATTGGAGGTAAATGAATATGTTTTTTATTTTGTTTTTCATGAATTTCATCTTCTTCTTTTTGAGTGAACTTCGCAAATGTTGTATTAACATATAAATAGCGAGAGGCAAGATGATGCTCGTCTTCAGAATAAAACTTAATCTGGCAATCGCCTGCATTGATATCAGATGGAAGAGGAATGTTATAATCAAATTCTTTGCTCGTTTCTTCTTGAAGACTGATATTGACAAGATTGCCTTCTGTGTTGTTAAGACTGTGATATATACGAATATGACTATTGCCATCGATGTCTGAAACTGAAAGTGTGAAGTTTATAAATTTGTCTCTGTTGATAAAAACTGGGAATATTGGTTTTTTGATTATTTGGAGAACTGGATTGTTGTATTCGAAATAAAATCTTTTGATTGTTGAAGCACATTTTGGTAAGCTGTCACAACATCTGATGATAAGTCGATAATTTCCGCGTGGAAGAGAATCTGGAATATTAACATTAAGATTGAATGGATATTCACTGCTACTTTGAATAGAAATACTTTTGCTTGATCTTGTTGTTGTTTGATATCCTTCAATATATGATTCTATCGTAACATATTCATCACCATCTATATCTGAAACATAACCAGAAACTGAAATAGAACTATCTCTCTTGTGGAAATATGATCCTTTACTTAAATCTGATACTTTGAGAACTGGATTGTTTCTTTTTAATGAAAATTGTTTAATTACAACATCTGAGACTTCATTAGAATGCATTGCCCAAACTTTCAATGTGTAGCCTTTTTCTTGATTAATTGAACTTGAAATTTTGCAATCAGCTGTGAAATTGTATGATTGTGATATATCATCATAATTGCTCCGATGTGTGATTTCTTCTTCTTTATCATCAATACTACAATGAAATGAATCAACATCATCACCTTTGTATGATCCTTTGAGTTTGATAATTTTATCAATATTGTGATAATAAGTTGTTTTTTCAAGATCTTCAATATTCATTGTGAATGGACTCGAAATTTCGAATTCAACTGAAACACTTACTGGTTGTGATATTATTCCAGCATTATTTGTATTTGAAACTATAACTTTAACCTTGTGACTTCCAATTTCTAAGTTATTTGGAAAAAAAAAAAAAAAAAAAAAAAAAAAAAAAAGGAAGTGGGGCTTCCAGGCACTTCGTGCCCTCTAGCCCCCCGTCACTTTTCTGTCACTTTTCAGGAAAAAACATTTTTATTATATATATAAAATGAATTTTACAAAACCACCGTTACCCTTCTTTGGAAATAAGAGTAGATGTAAAGATATTCTATTGAGAGAACTTAAGAAACTACCGAATGGTCTAACATTTGTAGACTTGTTCGGTGGAAGTTTCTATATATCTCATTTGTGCCATACAATATTTCCTGACTCAAAGATTATATGCAATGACTTCGACAACTATATGAACCGTCTCAAACATATACCAGACACAAACAAAATATTGAAAGAGTTAAAAGAAAAGATACCTATAGGTAAGATGGAACGTATACCATTAGATAAGAAAAATACTGTCAGAGAGGTTTTGAAAAAGGCAGAGTATATTGACTGGGATAGTATATCTGCTAGACTATTATATAGTGGTGCTATAAGAGTTCATGACATTGAAACACTTATGTCAAAAGTTTTATATCTTAACTATACAAATGTTTTCAAAGAGAACATAGAAAAATATATTGAGGGTATAGAGTTTGTGAGATGTCATTGGACAGAGTTGTATGAAAAATATAAAGACAAGGAAAATGTTTTCTTTATAGTGGACCCGCCGTTCTATAACACATGGGATTTTCAATACCAAGTAGACTGGACTTTGAGAGACTCTTTAGAAACTTTAGACGTTTTACATAACCATCCATGCTTTTACTTTACATCCGATAAAAGTGGTTTGGAAAGTGTCATGAGATGGTTAGAGGACATACATGACTATGAGTTTAGATATGACAAGATAGAATATGAGAGAGGTCCTATAAACTGGAGAAAGTGTCATAACAAAGAAATTTTACTAGTAAGTAAATGTGGTTTGAAATAGGACTACTTGTTTTAGGTTTTTTCCATTGTGTCATTTATTTATTTGACGTGGCAGAAAGATATAGAGAATATGAAGATGAACCAATGCCTGCAAATGTTCAGTATATGTACTCGTAAGAGATATTTTTATCTAATATTAAATGGACGCACAGAACTTAGCGAATGCACAGCAACCTGGACAACCAAACCCAGAGAATATTCCAAATGAAGTTAGAATACAAACTGCAATGGCAAACTATGGTCAAGTGCCAACAGATGTACAAATGCAAACTGCCATGTCAAATGACGCTGCGTTAGGTTTGCCACCATGGTATGCAAATATGAGATGGAAAGAGTTTTATACAAACCCTGAAGTGGGATATAAACAACTTTATGCAGATGACGCGAACACAGGAGTTGACCCAGAATATGTTTTCTACCAGAGGAGAAACAGAATGTATGAGCTCCAGTTAAAGAATGCTATGGAACTCAACAGGAAACGTAAGAGACTAGGCGGACATTAGATTTTTACATATAGTAAAATGGGTTTCTTCAGTAAGATAGGAAACTTCTTTCGAAATGTTGGAAGAGGTATATGGAATGGAATAAAAACCGTAGGAAGAGGAATTTGGAACGGTGTCAAAAATATTGGTAAAAGAGTAGGTCAGTTCGTTGGTATTATACCTAAAGACCCTGAACCAGAAGAACAAGCTCCTGTTATACAACAGCCTGAACCTGCACCACAGTCAAGTTGGCAACCAAATCCAACACCTCAACCGTATTAAAAAATTATATTTTTACCGTTCGATAGTAGTTGTATATGAAACTAAGTTCTAAGTAAAACACATGGTATAATGGAATTATTCTTTTTCTTCCATCTGTAGTAAACCATACTTGAAAGTCTGAAATACTTCCACTTGGTGGTTCGTATAACTTTGTAGGTTTTTCGTAAAAGTCATTTGCCAAGCATAAGAAAGAGTTTTGGGCGCCAGAAAATGAAGCATGAACAATAATAGCAGCTGGGTCGAAAACATCTTTAAATAAATATGGTTCATCTCTTGCATATCGACTGTAAATATTTGCTAAAGGAAGTTCGACTTTCTGATTTAACATTCTTTGCAAATAATACCATGACATTGCAGTGAATTCTGTATATATTTGTTCGTCTTTCTTTGGATTGTCTTCGTAGATTTGAAATGACACTTGTGAATTTTGTTTGTCATATACAATTCTCACATAAAGTGTGCTCTCGGTATTTGCATATTCATCAGCATATTTTGCATAACATGAATTTATTTTATCTTCTATATTTTTTAACGCAGTCTGTAGAGAAGATGAAAGGTCAACTTGTATTAGCTCAATTTCTTCCCACATTTTTCGTTTCCCTTCAGATATATAATCTATATGAAACCTTACAATAAATGGAAAACTTTTATCTTCTACAGACACAAACTTCATTCTACGAAAGCCAATAGCTTTTGTGACAGATGGGTCTCTTAGCCATCTTAATGGGTAGTCAAAACGATAGCCTTCATGCTTTACGGTCTCTGTCTCAAACTTTTGACCGACATTCGTAAAAAGTTCATCTAATGGTTTAGTTGTAGCAACTCTTGAATTTTCTTTTTCTATTGGAAGCATATTTTATCTAGAATAAAAATGTCAAATGAAACAGCGTCTATGAGAGAAATACAACACAACCGACAACTCATTATGCAAGCTCTAAATAAGAACACAACAAACTTTTCAAACTATTCTAAGATATCTGAGTCATTGAAAGAAGGAAACCTAAAACTGACATTAAACCCAATGACAGACGAGTTTCTGTTTCAAGACAACAAGAACCATACTGTTTGTATAAATCCAACAAAAAGAACTTTAAACGAGAAACCTATAGATGAACTTCTTTTGAAAGCAGATATTGACAACAAAGCTGACAAAGAGTATGTCATTGAAAAAGTTCAAGAAGAACATGACAGAGCAGATGCAACATATGCAACAAAAGAGGATGTTGAAAAGAAAGCTGACAAAGAGTATGTTGACGATGAGTTAGCATATCTGGCTAGTGGGTTAGTGAAGAAGGCAGATAAGGAATATGTGGATGAAAAAGACAATGAAATTATAAAAAGGGTTGAATGGTACCATGAACGGACATCGAAGATTTTAGAAGGTAAAGCCAATACAGGGTGGGTTTCAGGATGTTTAGACCTTAAAGCCGACAAAGAAACTGTAGATATGTTGACACAAACGGTTTCAAGTCATACCAGAGGTTTAATGGAAGATGGACAACAGTTGAAAGAGCTTGAGAAAGGTGTTACAGAGTTAAGGAATACAAAAGCAGACTCGACATGGATAGCTGGATATGTAGATGCAACAAAAGAACGTATTTTAGCATGGACAGAAGGAACATACCCACAAAAATATCATAGACATAGCATCTCTGACGTAAATGAACTTGAAGAAAAGTTATATAAAAAAGCAGACAAAACAGAGCTTCAAACATTAAAGACAGAAATACTTCAAACAGTATATCCTATAGGTTCTATTTATACGTCAATGAACTCTACCAGACCAGAAGTAGTACTTGGTCTCGGAACTTGGACTCAAATAGTCGACAGGTTTTGTATTGTGCAAACTCTTCAAAGGAAACAGGTGGAAGTAAAACGATTTCAGGTGAAGATTTACCTGCACACAGTCACTACATAGATTTAAGTACATCTCAAGCAGGTTGGCATAAGCATAGATATTGGGATTGGTCAGGAATGACAAAAGGTAAAGGATATGATGTTAAAGACGAGGTTAAGTTTGCTATAAATTGTTACTGGAGTGACACTCAGGGAGATGGAAACCATACACATCGCGTTTCGGGATATACACAAACAACGGGACAAAGTAAAGATTACATGCCGCCATTTATGACAGTTTACGCATGGTATAGAATTGCTTAGTCGTCATTTTCAACTTCTTTAGCATATTCGTCAGGAGTTGTCTTATATTTGTTAGGAACTGTCTTTGAAAGTATACCACCTTGAACTTTGACAAGTTTGAAACGAGGTCTGACAATAGTAGTTTTATCTTCTGCTTGCAGTCTGTACATTTTGCCATGTTTGCCTAAAACTTCATAATATTCTCTTGTATACTTTCTTCTATTTTTACGAACACGAAGGTGAGTACCTGTCGAGTTCCCATTGTTGTCATAGTCAATAGTATTTTCATATGGGTCGCGTTTAGGTATTTCTATTTTTACTTTGTCACCTTTCTTAAGTTTGAAGCCTGGCATTCTTTCTTGTTTGTCTCTTTTGACTAAACTATTAAATATATAGTCTTTCTCTAAGTCGGGGTTGTTTTTCATTTCTTCGGGGGAGTGGTTTCCCAAACCTTTTTGTTTACGGCTATTGTAAATATTTAAAACTTGTCTCATCTTTGCCATGGAGAAATGTCTATATTTGTCGTCATATGACATTTCATCTACCTCACCACCTTGTGGTTGATTTAAATCTCTTAAGATTTTTATACAACTGTCAATGACACCAAGAGCAGAATGGTTTTGGTCGACAATGAAATATTGGTTTACATTTTTGAACGCAGATAGTTTTTAATATCGTCTGATTTGAAAGAACTTTCACAGTCAGATGTCAGTTTTGTTGGATGGTATTTGTCAACGAATATTGTCAAAGCTGCTAAGATATCTAAAATATTTTTGGACTGTAATGGTATGGCTTCACAGTATCTTGTGTTTTGACCGACAAATATTAGCCAGTATGGTGGTCCATCTTCTCTATACCTCGGAATGTTTTCCAAGATATCCATAAACCAAGCATTTGGTGTTGAACTAAAGATTTTTATCATGAGTGCTTTCTTTGTTGCCTTAGAAACATAGGGGTCCTTGTTTGGATTCGTCATTTTTACCCTATAAGAAATGGGTTTATTTGGCGCATTAGCAGGAGTTGCATCCAGAT